TGTGCTTATTCCTGATCTTTTCCTCTTAACCACAATATGATTGCCTTGTTTCACACGTGATGTTCATAATCAAAGTCAGCAAAAAGGGACAAGTGGGGATGGGTCACTGATTTATCTGGAAAGCAAAACTTTGATGTGTCTCTTACAGTCTCCATTTCCACTGCCTCTCTTCCAATTCAGACCTTCCTTGTCTCCATCATTGCATCTGGAGCTTTGCCAAGGCCAAGTTAGTCACTGCTCTTCAGCCTCTCCCTGCCATGATAGTGCACTGCATTGATTTTCTGTTTCTTTTCTGCTGTGTTTCTTCTTCCCCACTGGATGAGGGGGTTCTTACTGGAAGACACCATCTCTTATTCATTTTTGAATGTTCAGCTCTTCACAAAATGCCCAACACAAAATAATGCTCAGTAAATGTTTTGTGAATGAGTGCTAACTAAGCAAAAGTAATCTCAAGGCAACTACGAGGACTGCTTTTCGCAGTAATGGTCGACAACTTTCCCAGTCTCTGAATCCATAGTTTTGTGACCCCAAACTTAGATTGCGACCTTAATGGTGGGAAGCCATGGAGTTTTTGTGTGGGTTGTAGACAGAAGCTTTCACTTTTCTTCTCCCATGGGCACCTTCTCTTGGGCTCCAGGATGCTGTTAACTCCTGTACACAGCTCCATTCCTGCGGTCCACGTAAAGCTATAAAAGATTTGTGGGAAACTGTTTCACAGGATGCACCCAGTCTCTGTAAATATTTGCTGATCAAAGTGAGACCATGGCCAGGTTAAGCACTTGACCTCTTTGTGAAATAAGATAAAGCACAAAGCATCAGATCCTGATGCTATTGCCATCGCTGTGATTTTAGTATTTTATTCTCAGGTCTTCCCACAGAGTGGTCCTTTCATTGGGAGAAGGTATGTTGCTGTTTATAAACCTAGCCACTGCTATAGAAAACTTCCTTGAGATCAGGGACAAATTTTGTAGAATAATCCAAGAAATGTTCAGTAATAGGAGTTTATTAGAATTGAGAAGGTTGGCAAAATAGTCTGGAGACCACAAGCCAAGTTTTTATTTTGAACATTCACCTGCAGCAGCTAAGTTGCCTCACTCTTCCCCCTACGCGCCAGAGACAGACCTGTGGTCAACCATAGTGACAGCTACTATTTCTGAAGTGCTGTAGAGTGTCAGCACTCTGGCAGGGGCTAGTGGCTGCCCCTTGGGCTATTTACTTTGTATAATATGCAGGTAGGAAGGACCTTGCATGATTTCCTTCTTTATATCAATGACCCAATCTCAGAAGATCCTCTGTAGCTTTAAGTCATGTCTTGACTTGAACCCTTCTATTTCTGAGGTCTCCTAGTCCCTTTTTGGTTAGAACAGGGGTCTCAGGCCCACAACTTAGCCACTTCAATGGGCATATATTTCTCAAGGAAAAAAGAACAGCTAATGAATAAGCCCTTCGGACAGAAAAGGGTCAAGCATCTAAGAAATTCAGCATTTCTGAAAATGTTCCACTTTACGTTCAAAAGAAAACTTTTGAAATGATTAGTAAGTTATTTAGAACCTCAATATCCCAAAGTTTGAGCAGCTAACATACTGAGAAATTTAATTTAGATTTCCTTAACACGGTCTCTCATGATAAGAGAGCATTCAGTATATCAGTATATAAATGCTATGCAACAGAACTGCCAAATTGCAACACAGAATGGGAGAAATTTGTCATTTTGAAATGCTAAGGGAATTCTTACTAACAGCTTTCTCATCTTGTAAAGCTATTATTTTTCTGAACTATAATATGATTTATGAATCTCAGCTGGTTTTATGCTTTTGATAGGAACAGACTTAAAGTAAAATGCATTTTCTCAGAGTATAAAACTCTCTCAGGAGTTGGCCAAATGAGGAGTAAAAAGAAACATCTTCTGCAGCCGACCATGCCAAACCGTGGTCTCTGCTAGTATATCTGCCTATCTGTGAAGCCAGTGTTGGTTTCCTCAGATCCTGAGTTCAGCACCCTATGGCTCCACAGCTTTTCCTGAGTGGCATCAATAGTTCTAGACACTCTCACTTATGCCGGGTGCCCCTCACAGCCCCCTTCTTCCTGAGCCCTTGTGTCTCGCTCCACACTGGATAGACCACCATCACGCCTTGTGTGTTCGTGTGGTGTATGAAGTGTGTGTGTGGTGTAGTATGTGTGTGGTATGGGGAATGGGGAGACAAAGTATGTGTGTGAGGTGGGGTGTGATTTGGGTGTGTGTGTGGAGTATGTGTGGTGAGGTGGAGTATGTGCGTGGTAGTGGACGGTATAGTATGTGGGGTAGGTATGGCACGTGGAATGTGGGATGTAGTGTGTATAGTGTGTTATAGGATGTGTTGGGGGTATGTCGTATTTGTGTTGTGGGGGGTTATAGTGTGTGGGGGATAGTGTATTGTATGTGGGGTGTGGGATATAGTGGGGGGAGTGTGCTCTATGTTGGGAGGGTGTGTTGTATGGTGTGGTGTTTGTGTCGAGAAGTCACAAGGAAGGAGACAGGAATCCCAGGGACAGAGGCCTGTAGGCATAAGATTGTAGCTCCCCAAATTTTTACAAATTGATTTTGAAAAATTTGTGGAGTGATTCAAATATACTAAGCACGATCCTGTCTTTAAATCATAGGCATAATTCATTGACATTGTTCTATTCACAGCAAGACAAAGAAAATCCAGAATACTTATTAACAAACATTAGATAATGCAGGTGATTGCTGACAGATTCTTGGAGATGTAATTCAAATAAGGGGGCTAGTGGAGTGGAAGAGGTATCTAGATAAGGGGCAAACATTTCTCAAAGGTGGAAAGAAATGAAGCCAGAGCGATATTTTGATAAGTTTTGTGAGAAACCTTGAATACCATGGAAAATTTGTATTTTATTAAACCAAAATTTGATTTACATAGGAAAGCTGAATCCTACCACCACAGCAGAACAGTTTTTATTCTAGCACCCAAGGACTCTTTCAAAAGAGCATATCTCACCCACTCACTCCTCAAGACACTCTCTTCAAAGCTATTTCCTCCAACTCAAAGTAATGGCCATCTTCCTGCAGGCTCTAGGGGCTTATCTCCCCAGCTAATCTCAAATCCTGTCTCTGGCTTCCCATTCCCAGGCTCTCCACAGAGACCATGACCCTCCCAACCGCAGCTTTTTCAAAGGATGTCTTCTCCCTTGCTTCTGCTCCCACTTGCTTCATTGCCTTATATTCTTTCAAAGCTAAGTTCAGCCATCTTTTGTGAAGGGAGCCTTCCTGGCTTGGCTGGAACTCCTCTGTGTCATCCTCCCTCACACCTTGTAACTCCTCCATTGAGGGTCAGTCATGGTTGTGTTAAGTGATCAGCTGAGGGTTGTTTCCCACCTCCCCCATAGACTGTAAACTCTCAGAATGCGAAGTGGCCCCACCTGTCTCATTCATGACAGTGCCCTGGCCAGCATCTGACCACTAGAAAGGCCACCACCAACTGTTTATTGAAAAGATAACAGTACATTCTAATGGGAAGACAAATCAGGGAGGAGGTTGCTTGGTTAAAATGAGGATGGAGCCTTCGATTGAAGCATTAATATGGGACCTTGGATGCCTCCCACTTGGTGTTCTCTCTCCCTCCTGAGGCATTTCTTGACCCTGAGGCATCCCTCTTTGGAGAACACTCTGAAAGCATTGTGGTAAATGATGGGATTTTCTGACTGCAAAAGGCTTTGTTGTTTGGCTTTAGGGTAAGAGTGAGTGTTCTCAAGAGTATTCTCTTTGGCCTGAGGAAACTTTCTGCTTGATGGTCAACAGAATGGATGAATGATCAAAGTCACTTTATGTAGACAAGAAACATATTTCATTCATTTATTTCAACATCTTTTCTCTCTTGGGTGGGGAAAGACTGTAAAAGACATCTAGGCTGGCCTGAATTTTATTCTTTTGTGCAAGACTGGGTGTAGAGCAGGCCTTTCTTTGGGAAGTTATTTTGGTGTAGGCCCACACCATCAAAAACATTGCCTCTATCTTCTGCAGATTCAAGTACGTGGTCTCCTTCTGGGCCAAGGTCACGTGACCCAGGGCAGCTCTCTGCTATTCTATCACTTGTTCCCTGTGGTCAGCTGTCTTGGAGTCAAAGGATTCCTTCCTCTGTCTGTTAAATAGGGCAAATCAAAGTAAAAATTACCTTTTGATTGATTAGCATTGCTGAAGAAAATCAATAGAAATGGCCCAAGATCCACTGGCACTGTCTCAATTTTAAGTGTTGTAGACATTGTTATTGCTGGAACACTGGGTTTCTGGATTCAACCTCGGAAGGGCCAGCTGAAAATCAGCTGCAGCCTGGGTTGAGAAGTGGCCTGTGCCATCGTAGATTAAAATGAAAATATGTGCTGGCCCAACATAAGTCATTTTTCTACCTTAGAATGTTCTTACAAATCCTAAGATCCTGCATTTGACATGTTCAAGAGAGAGAGATAACAGCTGAAGTCGTCTTTGTTCAGAATGTAGGAGACAGTTTTGTCTAGACTTTCAGGAAAGATACAGAATGACATTTTCAGAACATATCAAAATATATTTTTAAGTTCTTTTTTTCCCCTGCAGAAAGAGGATTTGACATGCTTCTCTCATTTGAATTTGGTTGATCTATAAATGGCCTCAATGGTTTGATGCAAAACTAGACTAAAATGAACCATTGAGAAGTTATTGAATTCACTTTCTTACCCCACTAGTTATTTGCACCACCAACAATGCGATAATTAATATTTATTTATTTAATGGCTTTTAGCTACGTGCTGCTAGACAAAATAGATCTTGGCATATATTTTCTTATTTTGTTCTCACAGCAATCCCACAAGCTAGGTATTTTTACTAAGCCAATTTTCCAATAAAAAGTGGAGAAACTGTGGGTTGGGGTGATTCACCCAAAGTGGCACAGCTGTAGGTAGCCCAGCAAGGACTGATTCCCCAAACCTGCCCACCTCACTCACCACTGCCTGTGTGTCTGCTTTCTCCACAGGGCCAGCATCGTACAGAAACGCATCATTTATTTTCAAGATGAGGGCTCTTTGACCAAGAAACTTTGTGAACAAGGTAAGAACTGCAGGTGGGGGAGGGCTAGGTAAGTGGTAGATGGTTCTTTCAGTCAAACCATGCAGCTGTTAAATCAAGATGATTGAGCTTTCTGGATTCCTAAATGTTCTGCCTCCTCACGTAGTTCCGATTTTTAATCTGGCTGTGTGTTGTGGATAATTGGATCTGCCTTAAGCCCTAATTACTCAGCTTGATTCCCTGGGTAGGAGATAATGTACCTTATATTGGCATCATCTTATTTTTGTGAAACAGTGATTATTCTGAAGAGGTTCCTTGGAATAATTCATAGGACTTAATTAAGGAATGCACAATGGTGTACCTTTTAAGGGCTGTGTAATGGTTCTCTGGAGTAATCACCCACAGGAACTTGTGTGACAACCAGGCAATCTGGAGGGATTTTCTCCAGGGAAGACCAGCAGGAGATGGGGAAGTCAAAAGGTCATTGACTTAGTGATTTGACTGTATTCAAAGGATCTGTTTCTGAGATTGGCAAGCTCATCAACACCATCTCCTCACGCTGAAGGCATTCTAACAAAGCTTGTGGCCACCAAGTTAACAGGGGAGGTTTGAGCAGAGGCTGGGATTCAGCCTGGGTTCAATCCTTCTTTAGTCCTTCCTAGACATGTATAACTCAATATATGTGAACTAGTACCCTGCCTCCTTGACACTTAGTAAATGCTATGTGTATAGTGTAGGTGTGTGTGTGTCAGCTATTATCATCTACATTTAAATCTTAGATCTATATTTAAACCTTGTTTATTAGTCTGCCATAAAAAATTAAAACCTTATGCATTTGAATGTACTTAGAAGTCATTAAAGAATAAGAATAGAACATGTTGTATAATTATATACCTTTATATGATTTCTATGCATTTTTTTGGTATGTAAAGCAATTAGTATTTTTGGTTCCTCAAGGACACCCCCAAACCCTCCTTCCCTCCCTGCTATGACATCAAAGCCCTCTGGGTTGGAGTTGTGGGTGTTCTGGATCACATAAGGACAGGCCCCTCTGGGTCTGCTTCACAAGCAAGGTGGGTTGGTTTTATTAGCTTGGCCCTAAATGGACAGCCTTATATCTCAGATTTCAGGGTTCTTAGGAAATATTCCACTGACACTCCCACTTACTGGCAACAATGGTTACCTGCTATCTTCCAAAGCCTCAGTCCTGATGTTGAGGGAAGTTGTATCTAAGCTCGAATATGCTAAAATGCTACAGATTTAGTGTCAATAAAGTGGCATGTCAAAGCTCTGTTGGTTATCACTTCTAAGGCAGACGTCCTGTCCAAGTGACTAAGCACACGTCTGTTTAGAGAGATCACTTTTCAGTGGCAATGTTGTGGACCTGAACTGTGGGATCATTAGGATAATTGTAGATGATCCCTGGAGATAGTGGAACCATGAGACTCCATTAGCTAACAAAGCAGGTCATATTAAGAAAGTCTTTAAGACATGTGCAGAGAACAAAGGTATTTTTCTTAAATGTGTATGCCCACTCAGTTATCTCTAGTTTTTTCATTAAGATCTTCACATTCTTTGTTTCCTGGGTGAGTCAATCAAACCTGTGAAAGGAGGGGAGACACACTAATATCTATTATGTTTTTCCCACTTGAAGCTATTAACTCATAGAGGGAAAAGGGACAACTACACAGATAAAAAGCAATGGGATTCATTAATTTTTTTAAAATCATGAAACATTAAATTACTTACAATTAAAAACAGAGAAGCATAAAATATTCAAAAAGGTTACCTATAATAAATAGAAGCATACACATATTCACTTTAATACCTGTCACAAACAATTAAGGGAGAAAGAAGGACAAATGAACAGGAAAACTGCAAAGAAAGGGAAAAGTGGGTAGAGAAGGGATAAGAAATGGAAGAAAAATGGGTGCAGAATGAAGAATAAAGGACAAAGTTGAAAAGAAAACTAGTGGGTTAGAGAAGTAATAGGACACAAGATGCTGCTTGGCCTGAAGTCTCCTGTGTTTGGAAGAGGGATAAATCCACATTTGTTATCACTGCCCCTTGAAAAATGGATTCAGGGTCCTCCCTGGTGGCTCAGCAGGTTAAAGTGCAGCACTATGGAACTGTCTGCAGCCACTGCAGCACAGTTCTATTCCTGGCCAAGGAGGTGACCCACATGGTGCAGCAGACCTCTCCTGACCCGCCCGCTGCTCCCCTCAGCAGTGTACTTTGTCCATCTCCTGTTCTGCTCCCCACTCTGTCTCTGGTGAATCCTTCACAGCCCCCCATCCCACACCATTGGCCTGTACCCCAGTTCTTGTATGCATAAATAAATAAATCTTTGAAAAAGAAAACTGGATTCATTTCCAGTAGATATTCCCTCCATAGGAAACAGAATGTCTGTTTTTATTTTCAAAGTTACAAATTTATTTTGTGAATGGAAATTCCTTTGGAATTCCAAAAGGTTTATTACTAGTTCATTCTCTTGAGCTCCTGAAGATATAATTTTAATCTTTAAATTCACCACTTTTATCCAAAAACCCTTGGATAGGTAAAGCTACCAATTTGCCTTATTTTGGTTCTTTGAGAGATTAATGCTGCTTCATTTAACAGTGCTTGATATTTACAATTGAAGCCCCAGCATGTATCTCTCTGCTCTGAATTCCTTTTTCAAAACTAGTTTAGTTTTTTTTTCACAATATAGCTGATCATTACAGAAATGTAAAAAGAAAAATTCTTTAGGAGTTACTAACATATGCTACCTTTCCTGAAATACATTCAACAGGGGTTGTCCCTTAACTCTCAGATGACACATACAGGATCTGCATCCAGACTCCGTGCACCCGTGGGATGCCTCTTCTGAACACAAAGCTTTGGCTTCTTCCAAATGTACAAAAAGTAACCAGACAATGATTTCTATTTTGGGTGGTTTCAAACCTCTCCTTTGTGGCTGTTTAGAAGTCCTGCACCTATATAGGGAAGTAATTTTTTAAATGTACCATTCTTCATCTGAAAAAGCAAAAAGAGAAACTCTCAAAAGAAGTTGTCTCATTGGGGCTTATGCAGACTTACCCAACAGGAGGTCTCCCCTGAGCGATATAGGACAGAGCAAAAAAAAAAAGACCTGAGTTCCAATTCTGCTTTCATCATTCATAGCTGTGGCCTTGGGCCGGTTACCTAATCTGCCTCAGTTGACTGATCTTTAAAATAGAGCTAATTAAGGGATCAGCACATGCAAGGACTCTGTATACTGTAGCTATTAATTCAGAATTCCATACCTCAGTCTTTCTTTTAAATCCCAGACTCACTGCTTCCACCTATCCCAGGTATTACATATTCAAATTAAAAGAACCCAGCGTTCTGTAGGAGATTTGTAAAATGTTCTTCCTGACACTCAAAAAAAAATTGTATACTCTTTGTTGCTGTTCTTTGTATATTTTTAAGAGTAAATGTCCGACTTGAAAAAAAAATTTGTGTTGATATTGCCAGGGAACCAAGGAAAAAGCAATTGAAGCAAGTTGCATCTATAGTCATTGTTTTCATCTTGCAGGAAGCTGAACAGACTGAAAGCAACAATGCACAGTTAGGGATGTAGGTTCGACAGTCAGAAATACTGAATTTATTCATGTAATCTCTCTTTCCCCACTTATCAGCTATTCACAGATAAAAATGGGGGCAGAAAGGGAATCTTGTTAAGTTTTTCCTGGCTGCTTCTATACACAAAAGTAAACCTCAACTTATGAACATTATTCCCAGACCTCCACTCCTCCCAGCAAAGTCTCTAAGAGCTTGATAAGATGTGGTGTGACTACATATGCATAGCTTTTTATTTTTCCATTGGTCCTTTATGTCTCTCTACTTGTTCTCTCTGCTCCCATTCAAGCCACTCCTTGTCCTGGCAATTTGGCCCCAGAGAATCTTTCTTAAAGAAAATACATATTTAGTGGTGAATTCCTGTTGTGGGAGGAGTGGGCAAGAAGACTGGGACCCCAAAAAAGGCAACCAAATAAAATTTATCCTTGATTTCCCAAGATCACCCCTACCCCCCCCCCAAATTCTTCCTTATTAGTCCCTTAAGTCTCCCCATGTTGACAGAGCAAAAGTTCTGGATTCGGTATTCAAATGCAGTTACTAGAGGGATCCAAAATCCTTTTACAGCCCTCATAATCACTTGATTCAGGGTGTTATTAATCAATGAAACCCTCATATTCTTTTCTGAAGTATTAAGGACAGGATGGAACCAAGATAGCACTGCCTTAAAAATAAGCTCCCTAAGCTTCCCTACGACCCAGCAATCCCACTCCTAGGTATCTACCCAAAAGACACAAAAACACTGATTGATAAAGATACCTGTGCCCCCATGTTTATTGCTGCTTTATTTACAATTGGAAAAACATGGAAGCAGCCCAAATGCCCAAAAGTAGATGACTGGATTAGAAAGATGTGGTACATATATACAATGGAATATTACTCAGCAACCAAAAAAGAGAAACACATGTCTTTTGTAGCAACTTGGATGGAGCTGGAAAAGATCATGCTTAGTGAGATAAGCCAGAAAGAGAAAGAAAAATACCGGATGGTTTCACTCATAGCAGGAGTATAATGGACCAGGCGAGAAAATAACAAAAATAATGAACAACCATGGACCAGAGACATTCTGTGGGGTGGAGTGGGGAATGGGATCAACGGGGGGGGGGGGAAGGGAGGGAAATGCACGGGACTAGGGTGGTGGCACAGGGGTGATCTGGTGATGGGAAACCCGCGGGGATTACAATCGAGATGAAAAAAAAAATGTGCAAAATGATGTAAAAATAAACTTTGTAATAAAAAAAATTGTTTTGTCAAAAAAAAATAAATAAATAAGCTCCCTAACCTGGTGATTGTTCTGATTGTTTCAGATTCCACATTTGATGGGGTTACTGACAAACCCATCTTAGACTGCTGTGCCTGTGGAACTGCCAAATACAGACTCACATTTTATGGGAACTGGTCCGAGAAGACCCATCCAAAGGATTATCCCCGTGAGTAGAGTGGCTACTTTATGGGTTGGGAGAAAGCACCTTGCAAAGTTCTTTCTGGTTATGGTGTACACTGGTACTTCCGGTGTGCTTGCTCTTTTTAATTGACTCATGAACCTGACATTCCAAGTCTGTGACTTCACCAGAATAGGCAGCTATAAAGTGTATGCATTTAGCTTCCTTACATGGCATTGTTTTAAATGATCTGTAATTTTTCAAACTGTTCTTAAGGTTATGGTGCTTATCTTTGGTCAGACTTTTGGAAACTTCAATCCTTCTGAAATGTTACACAGCATGCCTTCTTGTGTTGGGAATAGTTGGCAAAAGAGACCTGCTCTTGACTCCACAGACCAAGATCAGAAAGTATTCAGCATCTTTAACCATCCAGAACCACTGGCATTCTGTCAGTACACCCTGGCCAGCTGGTTCCAGGTCCCACCTTAGAGTTCCTGCTACCATATCCAGATAAGCCAACACTAATCCACAAGCATCAGCAGATCCTAAACTTCCTTTTAGCAAATGGTTGTTTAAATGGCATTTAAGCAAATATTTACATGTGCCAGGTACTATGCTTAACTCTGGAGAGGCAAGAATGAACAACAGCAAAAGACACAGTTCATATTCTCATGCAGCTCAGCGAGGAGATGGACACTGATCAAATAATCGCACAAAAGATGTGAAAATTAACCTTGAATAGTGGATTTAATGTGTGACAGGCATTTTTACATGTTATGTCATTGAACCTTCAAAATAAATTGGGGTGGGGGATGAGCTCACTGCAGATCAGAGAGGTAGTATGCCTTTCTCACTGCCAGTGTAAGTAGCGGGTCCATGGTCCGAAAAGGGGGTGGACAGGGTCGTGGTCCTGCATTCGTTGCAGGTTGCCCTTTTGGACGCTGACTCTCCCATTTTCTCTGCTGTGGGTGGCAGGATGTCCGTGTGTGGCACTAAACTTTGCTCATTGTTTTTGTTCTCATTCACTTCACTTTGGAGTTACCACAGCTGCGAACAGACAGTGGGGCTACGAGAAAGATGAAAAGAGGGATGTGGGTGAAGACCAAAGGAAGGAGGAACAAAGAATGCATGGCTGGGACTTAAGGAGACCTAGTCCAGACCAGAACCTCCATGGTTCCCTTAAAGCCCACCCAGAGGGGCCTCCAGCATTTCTTGGCAGATCAAGAGCCTTGTTGTTTAATTTTACCCACATGTAATCAAGGCCGGGCTGCTTAGAAGCCTCTTTCTAGTTCATTCTTTTGACTCTGGGATTCAGCTTGATCTGCGTCAGCTGGTGTGGGCAGACCTGCATGAACAAACTTGGACTCTGGCTATGTATGTGCAGTGGGGGTGGGGAGGCCCAACCACTTGGAATAAATTTGGAAAAAAAAAATTTCCTGTAGTGGCTCCCGTCCACTAACCCAGAGGAAATAAAATGTTAGGGGCCCATGACTCATTTCTAAGACGCTTCTTGTTCTTTTCTACTCTGACTCTGTTCTTTCCCAGAATTAGGGGGGAAAGAAGGTATAGACCATTGTTTCTGGGTCTTAGGGCCAAATCAATTATAAATTTTTTTAGGATTTTCTGTGGTGTTGTTGGGAGTTTCTTAATAAATGTAACAGATGTGTTCCAGATCCCCCAAGATGTCAGCTTGCGTCCTAATCTTTCCTTGGAAAAAAATGGTCATGGTGTACAGAAGAGTACTTATCACCTCTTGTGGTTATTATTTCTTCTATGGTCTCTCTTCCCCACCAGAGACAAAAGCCACAGCATAAGCTCATTGTTGATTTTTCACACCTGGAGTCTCCTGATTCCTTCCTGAGTGTGATTGTTGGACTCTGAATGGCAGTCTCCATGATCTGGGAGGCAGATTTTGAATTCATATTCAGTGTAGATGGCCAAGACAAAGCAGAGAGTGGGGCTGGATATTCCTTGTGTTACAGGGCAATGAGAGGGGCACCCCTGAGCTCCCAAGAATTGCCCACTCTAAATAGGTTCTGCCATCCACCACATCAAGACAAAACATGTAAGACCTTTAATGGAAAGGAACTTTAATACAATTAGTGTGCAAAACACAACGAATATAGTTTCTAAATCAAGCACCCAAAGTTACCCATCCCCTCATGAGCAAAAGTCCACCCCAAAGGGATTGGCCCAAAGCAAGGCCTGAAAGCCCGCCATGAGTCTAAAACACCTTCTGGCTGGGACCCATAGAAAAAGGTCAGAAATGGCTGGACAAGTCTGGGAGGAAAGGAGCAAAATCAAAATGAAGATAAGCGCTGCCATAGTGAACTTCCCCACAGTTCTCTCACCTGGTCGAAACAGATGTTTCAGGGCCAAGAAACAAGACCCACCTCTTCACGTCTCTCTGCTCCACGTGCCTCCCTCAGGTCTCCTTCTGGCCCCCATCCTGCTTCCTTCCTCCTCAGTCTCTCTCCAGATTCTTCTCCTCCCTGCTCAGCTCCACCCTCCTTTGGGTAGGGCAGGGAACCTGTAACCTCCCCTTTTCCTGGAGACCACCCTGTTAACACTTGGAGGGAAAAGGGTAGATTTGTACTCTTGGAGCAGAAGGGCCTAAGGAGAGGCAGGAAAGAGGGTCTGACCAGGACGTTGACAATTCTGTCTTCAAAAGTGACTTCTACCAGTCTCATGTAACAGATGACTTTCTTTTTTCCACTTCAGGGATGGCTTTGGCTTAATAATGATGCTTCCAGACCTTGGCACAAACTGATAATGTCAAGTCCCCTCTCCTTATTAATTACTCACTCAAAATACCACTTTCTCCACAAGGATCTCAGAGCAGTAATTCCCAAGCCTTTAAATTTCATGTCCCTTTTATGCACCCCAACCTACTTTTTTTTCATATGGGCTATGTCACTTGATATCTGCCACATCAAAACTTAAAGCATAAACTTTAAAATATTGCTCACTAATTTTTCAAAATAGCATAATGAAATAAAAATAATAAACTCACATGTTACATTTAGACATATTTTTGAAGATAACTAGATTGTCCAAAACAGAAGAAATTTAGTGAAAAGAACATCATTGTTTGACAGTTTAGCAAATATCTTTCATGTCTGGCTCAATGGAAGACATCTGGATTCTTGTATTTGTTCTGCCTGCGTTGAACCTGTCGTGGAATATTTTTTGGTTTAAGTACAGGGACAATTACAATTGGAGAAGGGAAAAATACTTTAATAATGTTTGCACATTTACTACTATATCAAAACTCAACAAATAATCATTTCATAGAGGATAATGATGGAATATGAAGCCATGTCAATGAACCGCATTGCTTTACCTTGCAACTTGAATGAATTCAAAGGAATGATTTTGTAACATCACCCATTGTCACTTGGAATATAGACTTACTGAATTTTGCAGATGATTCTGGTATTGAGACATTTTGCATTGTATTAATATCACTACCAATTTCATCAGAAAAGCATTCAAGTATTGGAAAACTGTCCAATTCACAGCAGTGGATGCAAGTTTTCCAAAATTCTAAGTTTTGATTTAAGTGAAAATTTTACAATTGGCAACAGATCCTGTCTGTTATTTTCCTTGAAGTGGCAGGCTTCCTTCATTTTTAAGAAATGGTATGCCACATTCTCATGTCAGAATAACGTAATTTGTCTGTTATTTGTTCTTCAAGGAAAAATGATGCTTTATAAAAATAAAAATATCCAGTCCAGCTTGCACCTCGAACAATTGCACAAGTACATTTATCCATGTCGTAGTGCTTCAGTTATAACAGAAGTACTTTATGCACATTTCCCAGTTAGCCACACACAATAATAAAAAGATGTACACTCAAAGGCAGAGATTTAATAAAACTAATAATTTTTATTGTTTTAAGGTCATTCATAGGTGAAACTGTTCTGGTTGTTGTTTACCTCATTGAGGAACGTGCTGACAATTAACACAGGTCAAGGATCCTGTCTTGAGCTGAACGAAGAGCCCACAGTTCTACTCATGATTTTTGCACCATCAGTATTACTGTCAACATATGACAAATGGCGAATGAACTCAGTAGTATTATAGAACAGTCTTCATCACACAGACACTGTTGAAAGAGTCTCAGAACTCTATGGAACATTCTTTGAGAACCCTTGCAGTAAGACACAGCCACAGCCTAAGGTGTCTACCCTTCAGTTCTCAGGCAACTTGCCTTGAGAATTCATAATGGATTTTGCAAGGACTCAGCAATGCCTGATGCTTTCCGTGATCTCTCCAGTGGTCAGTCACATCTGCAGGAGGCTCTTCTCAACCATTATGCAAAATGGTTTGTCCCAAATGCTTTTTTAAGGGTCACTCTCTTAGAGAACAGTGCACTCTTTGCCTCTATGACACCCCTCTTTTTAGGAGGGGCTAAGAGGTTGAGGTAAGAAAGGCAGGAGGGTGGCCTAAATGACCTCTGGCATTCCCTTTCCATTGTGATGCATATATCCCTGCTGGCCATCTGGAAACAGTGAAATCCTTTAAAAACACTCCCAATGGAGCAATTCCTAGAAATCCATTTTAAGGCTGGATCATGCGAGCTTTACCTCCTAATTGTATAAGTGAAAAAAAAAAAAAAACTCAAATACAAAGAAGTTAAAGGCTCAGATCATAGAGGCAGAACGCCAGAACTCAAATCAAAGCTCTTGATTCCTCTTGGAGTCTTGTGGGGCTGTCACAAAGTCTTCCCTGCAGTAAAATTAAATATCTTGTATACAAAGTGTCTTTTACTAAAGGCCCTGTTGTCCCAATATAGGCTTAACAGACACGAAATTCTGAACAGCCTTTCCCTACCCTACAAAGACCTGCTCTGCAGAGATCCCAATTTAGAAGTCAGTGAGAAAGTCTGGATTAGGCACCTGAATTAGGTCTGGAGCCCTGGGGTACTAGACTGTCACTTCCCGTGGGTCTGGCCTGGGCACTGCCAGTTTGTGGTGCCCAGCAGCAGTCCAGAGCACGTGTTCTGCACAGGAAGAGTGTGGCTGGGCAGTGTTCCCACATAGGGA